AAATATGGAAGAAAAATACTAATTCTGAGTCAAAGTTAACGCCTATAGTAACCTGTACCATGTGCTACGTAAAATATTTTGACACTTTCAATATTGATACATGACTATATTCCGTCCATTTGCAAATTTCGTTTAAAACATAGCTAGTTTCGGGCATTTCTGCTTCTGAAGGAATGAAACTCACCAACATCTGAGTTAATTTTACGAAAATAGAAAAGTAAAGGACCCAAAATTGTTCTCTGTGGGACACCATTATTAACCTTCTGCTTGTTTGAGTTGCTTTTTGCTGTTTTTTATATAATTTTTGAACCAATTAAAATTACGACTACAATTACAAGTACAAGGTCAAATCGTTTAAAGAAAAAAATATTCTTTTTGGGTTCCGGTTTTTACACATGACATTATCCATAGCGTGCGTGGATTGATTAATAAAATTTGTTGTCTGACACTGCTGTGAAATATCAATTTTTCAAAATGGATTAAGGTTGGTCAAACTAACACCTACACGTCCCAAAATATCAGAAATATTTTAAATACATTTTTAGAATACCAGCCGGGTACAGTTTTTATAAAACCGGTTGTAAGGAAGTGTCATAAAAATAATTCCTTCAACGTCAGCAGCAGAAGCAAAACAATATTTCCCTCCAAACCTTATGGATCTCTTCTCTGTGCCGCCATTGTAATAAACGAAAAGGACTTTTTTAAAACTTTGATAAGCTTTGTATTTCGGGCCGAGCCTCGGCTTCTGGCTTACATTGGAGCCCACGCACGTGTCCATCCTGCAAAGATTTTTTCCTGCTCAAATAAATACGCCCTAACCCGCTTTCTATTACTGTTAGAAATCGAGTCTGTAGGCATTCTGGCGGTAAATTGATCTGTTGTCAGCAGAAAGGCGTTAGGGATTTACCTGCGGGTTGGAGGGTCGTTCTTGGCGGTCTCAGGTCTTCCATCATACCGGCCGATAAATTTCCGATTTGTGTTCCACTTTCAACAATGGCTGTCGCAATAAAAAGTGCCATGCAAGACGATAAAATTCTCGGTCACTGCTCCCGAATTAGAGTTTATGGACGACATCTCAAAAGTGATTTCAGTAAGTGGTGGTGGAGTGATATCTCGGCGTTATTGAGTCCAAAAGGCCGGACGAGGACGGAGAACTCTCTGATGGTTACATGTTTCGTATCAGGCTGGAGGGATCTTGAATAAAATTCCAAGCTGAATCCCTCGAATTATGCAGGTCGCAGTTCCGAAGGATTGCCAGAAATTTAAAAAGTAATAAGACGACACATCGAGGAGATGCCTGCAAATTTCAGCCAGTTTCCGGACGAGATTGCAGTCGATAAATAAGTGAAGCATGGCTGGAGCGCGGAACAGTAAATGGGCGACGGGTATCATTACATGGTATGATTATGGGATACCGAACTAACTTTTTATACCGACAAAGAAAACTCACAGTATTTTCTTTATAGTTGTACAGTAAAGAAGTTCCATTCACCGAAGAATGCCGAGTTTCCGGGTGATGCTACACGACGTCTCTGCATGCAGATCTAAATTCTAAAGTAACATTTCTGGTTAGATCCATGAATTTGTGCTGATTGGTGCCCCACATCCGTAGTTTCGGGGTTAAAAATAACTCATGTTAGTGCATTCGTTTAAATTAGTAAAACTTACGATTTGCCGCTGCAGAATCTGGCGAGAAGCCATAAATCGATTTTAAGTTTATTCCAAACTACCAAGCATTGAAGAAAGAATGTAATTGACAAAGTCCGGCCATTACCATTCCGCATTACTGAACAATGTGACTCGAGTGTAGCATTTGCCGTTCCATTTCGTCGATAATGTTTGGTATTGTATTTTAATGGGCGCTATAATTAGGTCGATTATCTAAAAGGGATATTTAATTAGAACCAGTGCTAATAGCCAAGCGCATACGATCTAATTCCTCTCTAAGGCTTTTGTCACCTACAATATTCCGGTGCACATCCTCGCGAGCACACTAGTTATGCTTAATTAACTAGAGCCATACTCACTGTGACAAGCCCTGAGGCAGAACTAAGAATGTTATTATTGACGGGCCTAAGAAACAGTCAGGGGCGGACTGGAACAGGAGCTAGAAGGCGTCTTTTATGTTGACATGGCACTTTGTCATCTCAGGAATGGCATTGTTTCGTCTTTCACAACGCACAAAATGACCCCCGGCTGTGGGCACACAGGACAATGAGAGGACGAATTTTACCTTTCTGTACACTTACGAATATTATAACAAGGAAATTTTTAGTGAGAAAATTGAAAGCACCTCAATTCTGCCTTTTTTCAACACCAACCGCTTATAGAGGTATTACGGACAGCTCACATATTAAACGGCATCATATTTTTCACGTTTATTTTGAAATGAAATAATAGAATAAAAATAACAAGAATATTTACAGTGGTTTTATTAACATCTCAATGTTTTACAATATTCATTTCCATGAATTATTTTTTTTCGATGAGGTCCAGCGTCTTTATTCTGGCGCCGTTGTCTTTTTTCCTGGGTTTTGACTGGTCCTTGTACTGAAAACTGCGTCCGAAGAACTTTGCCGGCGTTGGATCCAAACAGTCTTCCGGATTCTTCTCTGGTTATGGAGTACAACAGTCCAGGATTCAGCATCTCCTCTCGCCGCCTTCGTTTTTCCAATACTCGCTGGTTTTTGACGGTCTTCCTCAAGACCGGATCTCCTTGGGCGATGCTTTTCCACAGGTCGCTGGATCGGGTGGCAGTTAAAAGCGAAGATGGGTCCAAACACCTGAAATAAACAATATATTAGTACAAAAATAATAGCAAAAAATAAAAATATGACTTACCTCAAGATGCTGGCCCACAGCTCTACTGGTAAATCTGGTAGGGCAAATTCACCAGCGGGGACGAAAGACAAAATTTGATACATCTTGGAAAATTTTATCGTGCAAGCAGAGGATAAACTGAATAGGTGGTGACGAGCTGCGGTATATATACCCGATGGGCGCTCCCCTTCCACTCGACTAACGCTGGAGTGGGAAGCGCGGTAGTGGGGGTGAGGTGGGGACGCGGTAGGTTTAATAGGCTTATGTTTATTATTTATATTAAAATCTAGGAGCTTGCTTGTAACCAAGCCTTGGTATTAATACATATTTTTAAATGTATTTTTTTTTCACCAGCATTCGAAACTGAAAAATTTACAGGTTTTTCGATTCAAAAATACCAAGTCAGTTGCTTCACTCAGTGGACGTGCCGGAGAGGTTAATAAATACAAAGGTACGTCTGTATCTGAGGAAGAATCATTAAACTGGGATAACAGTGTTCTTTTAATAGGAAAATACCAATGTAAATAAAAATAAATAAAATCAACTGACTTAAATTATAAACGTTAAGAAAACTTTGAGTAACTGACGGAAAAATCTCTTTAAAGAAATGCTCGCACTTTGATCGCTCAAGTCTGTAAAAGGAACTAGGGTTTAATTTTCCGTTTATAAAATGAAAAGTCTGGTAATAAATATACACGTTGCCTAGACGCATATTTTCGCCTATATTAAAATACTAAACTTGAGATCAAGAGTAAGAAATGGTAGCCCTACGTGACGTCACGTGTTATTTAAACTAGCAGCTATATTTCCTCCACGACTTCACCAAGTACGTCGTAAAAACAATTCTTCTTGAAAAATTTTATCGCTTGCGTTAATTAGTTCCAAACAGTTTTTTAGCAAACTTCTTCAATGTAATGCAAACCTGGCTTGAATTATAACACGAATATACAGAATTCTGCATATTTCTTCAATGTCCAGGCAACCGCGTAAAGAAAACAATACAATAGGACATTATTCTTCGATTTTATTTAAAATATTTTTACTTCATTTAATTAGTGAGTTGCAAGGGGCATCCTTCTCGTCACGGGTGGAGTTGAATAGCGGCTCTCTGCACATTTCGCTCCTCGTGGAAGGAATTGCGTCACTCGACGCAATCGCGGCAGTAATTGTCAGTGCAATTGTCTTGTCTCGGGGGGTGTACAATTGCATCTGTCTGCGCAATTCGTTCTTCGTAGAAGCTCAGCCAAGCGTTCTCAAATGTTTTACGTAATTTTAAACACTCTTGATCAATTCAATCATTATCTGGAAAAAAACACTTTTCCGACCAGACATGTATTGATCAGGAATAACAGAAATAACAATACAGAGCAAAATCGTTGCTGAGGCATTGATTCATCTGCCTCAGCAATGGTTTCAAAACTATAAATGCATTGAAAAGGGCTGAATTCCCATTCTTTTGAAGATTTTTTAGACTGCTTCCTTCAAACACTACAAAATTATTTGTACACAAGTTGTCGGCTGCTATGGCACCATTATTATTTCATTAGTTAAGATGAAATAAAAAAAAACAGTAGGAATATTTCCAATGGTTTTATTAACATCTCATCATTTTACAAAATTCATTGCTTTGAATATTTTTTGACGAAGAGGTCCAGGGTCTTTATTCTGGGGACGTTCTCTTTTTTCCTGGGTTTTGACCGGTCCTTGTACTAAAAACTATGTCCGAAGGACTTTGCTGGCGTTGGATCCAAACGGTCTACCAGATCCTTCCCTGGTTATGGAAAGCAACAATCCAGGATTCAGCATCTCGTCTCGGCGTCTTCGTTTTTCCCGTACTAGCAAAAATTGACGGTCTTCCTCAACACCAAATCTCTGGTGGCAGTCATCTTAGTAATGGCATTCACAACGCACAAAATGACCCCCGGCTGTGGGCACACAGGACAATGACAGGACGAATTTTACCTTTCTCTACACTTACCAATATTATAACACAGATATTTTTAGTGAGAAAATTGAAAACGCCTCAATTCTACCTTTTTTCAACACCAACCGCTTAGGTACTACCGTATTACGTACAGTTTACATATTAGACTGCATCACATTTTTCACGTTTATTTTTAAAATGTTCGGTGGCTAATACCACCAATATTATTCTTTGAGATAAAGTGAAATAAATAAAATAAAAATAACACGTATATTTACAATGGTTTTATAAACATCTCAATGTTTTACAATATTCATTCCCATGAATTATTTTTTTTCGAAGAGGTCCAGCGTCTTTATTCTGGCGCCGTTTTCTTTTTTCCTGGGTTTTGACTGGTCCTTTTACTGAAAACTGCGTCCGAAGAACTTTGCCGGTGTTGGATCCAAACAGTCTTCCCGATCCTTCTCTGGTTATGGAGAGCAACAGTCCAGGATTCAGCATCTCCTCTCGCCGCTTTCGTTTTTCCAATACTAGCTGGTTTTTGACGGTCTTCCTCAAGACCGGATCTCCTTGGGCGATGCGTTTCCATGGATCGCTGGATCTGGTGGCTGTCAGAAGCGAAGATGGGTCCAAACACCTGAAACAAACAATATATTAGTACAAAAATAATAGCAAAAAACAAAAATATGACTTACCTCAAGATGTTGGCCCAAAGCTCTACTGGTAAATCTGGCAGGGCAAATTCACTTGCGGTGACGAAAGGTAAAATTTGGTACATCTTGGAAAATTTTATCGTGCAAGCAGAGGATAAACTGAGCGGATAGCGGCGAGCTGCGGTATATATACCCGATGGGCGCTCCCCTTCCACTCGACTAACGGTGGAGTGCGAAGCGCGGTAGTGGGGATGAGGTGGGGACGCGATAAGTTTAATTGGCGTATGTTTGTTATTTACAATATATTATAAAATCTAGGAGCTTGCTTCTAACCAAACCTTTGTATTAATACATATTTTTAAGTGTATTTTTTTCTCACCAGCATTCGAAACTGAAAAATTTACACGTTTTTCTATTTAAAAACACCAAGTCAGGATCATTTCCGGCCAAACTAGAAATGTAATAAAATTGAAAATGTCATCAACCCAACTTTTAAAAGAGTCGTTTTGAAAATGATAAAAATCATTTAATTTTACTAAACGAGTTCATTACCACCGTTACCACAATTTTTAGACAGCAAAATTTTTCCTTTTTTTATTTTCTGCTTTTTTTCAATTTCTCTCCATTTTTTGTTCCAGCTTCGTAATATTTCGTGTTTCATTTTTAAAATTTTTCAATTTCTCGACCTTAAAGTTTGCAATTTTTCAATTTTGCAGTTTTTCGATATGACAATTTTTCATTTTTCGATTTTTTAGTTTCTCAGTTATTAATTTTTCGTTTTTTCAATTTTTCGTATCGTCAATTTTTCACTTCCATTTTTACTTTTTATTTTTCCAATTTTTTAATTTACATTTTCTCAATTCTTTATCACAATTTTTCTTTTTTTCATTTCCTATATCAATGTTTTTTGTACTTTATAATTTTTCGTTTATTCAGTTTTTCAAACTTTCAATCTTTGATTTTTCAGTTCATCAATTTTCCAATATTCAAAATTTTCAGTTCATCAATTTTCCAATATTCAAAATTTTCATTTATGCAATTTTTGGATTTCTGAATTTTTTGATTTTCCGATTTTTATAATAAATTCAGTATGTTTTTTGATGTTGAAATTTTTTTGATTTTTAAATTTGTTCAATCTATTCAGTCCTCGATTTCCAATTTTTACAATTTTGGAAAACTTTGACAATTCTAAAAATTGGAATTTTATACTTTTTCGTATTTTTCATTTTTGATTTTTCAATTTTACAATTTTGCATTTTTCCATTTTTTGACAGAAAAGTTAAAAAATCTAAAAATTAAAAACCGAAAAACTAAGTGACTAAAAAAACGGAAATATTGAAAAATCGAGAATTTGCAAAATCGAAAAAGTGGAAAATCGAAAAATTGCAAAATCGAAGAGAAGAGAATTAAAAAAAAATTAAAACACTAATGAATTGAAGGATTGAAAAAACTAGAGATGTACCGACTACAGTCGGCCGACTGTTTATAAATGCAACAGACAGTGGGTTTTTTTTTCTATTTCTCTGACTACCTTAAAAACTTGTTTTATTTTAATAAAAGGAATAACTGAAGTTTCTTTATTTTCCAAAAAATGTGTTAAATTTTTTTGGATAATTTTAACATTTAATTTTTTGTAGTAACTCAGTACAAAAATAAAGAATAACACAATTTAAGGCAGTTTATACAATACTTAACCAATTTTAACCACTTTTTTGGAAAATTTTTGGAAATTTTGAATTCGCTTTGCGTGTTTATTGGACCATATATCGTGACGGCGATTTCAGAATCGTAACTAGCAGAAGATTATCTACACTTTGACACCAATTTTCGGTCGATTAAACTAATTTTAACCGGTTTTGACAAAGCCGACTAGTCGGCCGACTGTAGTCGGTACATCTCTAGAAAAAACCCAAAAATTGTAAGATCGAAAAGTTATAGAATCGTCTAAAATTATAAAGATCCAAAATTCTAAAATTAAAAATCGAAACTTTGAAAAATCGAATAAATGAAAAGAATCTAAACTCATAATATTGAAAAAGTGATTTTTTTTTAAATTACAATTACGTATTTAAAATGTTTCTGGAATAATTGCAAATACTTAAGAAATAAAAAATGGAAAAACCGAAACTGAAAAATCTAAAATTAAAAAAAAAACGAAAAAATAAAAAATCTAAAAATTACAATCGAAAAATTTCAAATTGAAAAATTGCTAAATTAAAAAACTGAAACGTCCAAAAATTGGAAAAACAAAAAACTGAAAGATTTAAAAATGAAAACTTGAATAGTTGACATATCGTGAATTTGAAGAAAAAAATAATGAAAAATATGAAAAATTGCAAATCGAAAAATTGTAAAATTGTTGAAATATCCTAAAATTTAAAAATCAAAAAACTGAAAGATTTAAAAATGAAAATACGAAGAGTTATATCGTAAAATTTAAAGAACAATAAACATAAAAATGGAAAATTTTAAAATTGCAACGCGAAAAATTGAAAAAAAAAATCAGAACATTGAAAAATCGAAAAAATTGTAAAAATAAAGAAAATAAAAACCGAAACAAAAAATTGGAAATAGAATCAATCAATCAATACAATACAAGAAAATTTTACCATATCGAAAAATTGAAAAATTCAGACTCGAAAACTCCAAAAACTGCAAATTAAAACACTAAAGAAATAAAAAAATGGAAAAATCAATTTTGAAAGGTGTAAATTTAAAAAAACGAAAAATTGAAAATCGAAGAATTACAACGAAAAAATTGAAAAATGAAAAATTCAAAAATTGAAAAATTTACTTGAAAAAAGAAAAGTTATTACATGAAAACATTGACTAACAAACAAATTTTAAAAATAAGGAAAATAAAAATCCGAAACCAAAAATTGCAAACCGAAAATTTGAAGAAATGAAAAATTGAAATATCAAAAAACTGAAAAATAAAAAATTGAGAACTCATACAATTGCAAAATTTAAAAATTCAATCATCCAAAAATTGAAAAATCAAAAAACCGAAAAATTTAAAACTAAACAGTCGAAAAGTTACTATCGTAAAATTGAAGAAACAAAACAAACGAAAATTAAAAATTATCACATCAGAACATAGAAAAATCCCAAAAATTGTAAACATAAAGGAAATAAAAAACCAAACCTTAAATTGAAAAACAAAATTAAAAGAAATGAAAACTTGCAAATCGAAAAATTGAAGAAACAAAAAAAAAATAAAAACTGAAAAGTTGCAACGCGAAAAATAAAAAAAACGAGAAATTATAAAATTGAAACATTGGAAAATGGAAAATATTGTAAATATAAAGAAAATAAAAATCCTAAACGAAAAATTGGAAATCGAAAATTTTACGAAATTAAAAAATTAAAGAATAGAAAAATTGAAACAATCAAACTTGAAAACTCAAAAAATTGCAAAAATTACAATCAAAAATTGCAAATTGAAAAATCTAAAAATTGAAAAATTAAAACATCAAAAAATTGGAAAATCAAAAAACTGAAAGATTTAGAAATGAAAACTCGAAGAGTTACATATCGTAAAATTGAAGAAACAAAAAAATTGAAAAATTGAAAAATGGCACCGCGAGAAATTGAGAAAAAAACGAAAAAAAAATTTAAAATCGGATTGAAAAATCGCAAAAATTGTAAAAATAAAGAAAATAAAAACCCAAACCTTAAATTAATTGGTAATCGAAATTTTGAAAAAATGAAAAATTAAAGAATCGAAAATTTGAAAAATTAATCTTGAAAACTCGAAAAATTGCAAATCGAAACAAAATATGAAAAAATGAAGAATTATAAGAAAGAAGATAGCAAAATTTTTTATAATTTATATATATAACAAGCGGGATTTGTTGGACTCTACTTTAGGAGAGAGGGAAGTTCTGTTAACATAACGTTCGACCCATTTTTTAAATTTAGTATACGATACATCCAAAAAATGTATATTTTTGTTAGTTCGAAATTTACAATTTGCCCTAGAATTGATGAACTAACTAAAATTGATCTAAAATTATGCTTCCATTTCAAGCGAGTTTTCCCATTTGAAAATGTTCCGATCAACATTATTCTTGAAATTTGATCAGTAAAAAATAAGGTGAACTAATTTTGATTTAAACTATAAAAAGATACAGAAAATAAGAGTCACAGTTTAAGGTAAAGAAGGAATAGTTAGAAAATGAAAAAAACGAAAAATTATCACATCAGAACATAGAAAAATCGCAAAAATTGTGAACATAAAGGAAATAAAAAACCAAACCTTAAATTGAAAAACAAAATTAAAAGAAATGAAAACTTGCAAATCGAAAAATTGAAGAAACAAAAAAAAATAAAAACTGAAAAGTTGCAACGCGAAAAATAAAAAAACGAGAAATTAGAAGGCGGAGACGAACTCAGCACTACCATAGAGACTCCCGCTTATACTAACATAAAAGATGATCATACAATTTGGACTTTTTTGCAAAAATTTGGATTCGTATACCACAAGTGTAGGAGCATATTATTATTATCTAATCTGTAAATCATTTTAATGTAGAATCTTTTGAGATAACGTCATCAAATTCTTGGTGGGGATTATTAGCCGAATTTTGCTTAGCGCTTTACCATCCACGTGATATTCCTAATATACATGCAAAATTAACACAGACGAACTTGTCTTTAGATAAAACCAGAGCGGTATTGATTGAGTCACAAAGGCGTGGGAAGTTCAATATAAATGATTTTACCCATCTTTAAAACAAGAGATTTCAAAATTTGTATTCTAGACAGAGAACTAAGATTTGTCCAACCCACGACCTAATCCATCTCTTCTTACATTTCAAAGCGACGATAAGAGCTACAATTGCCAATTAAAATTCGTTTAGAATAAATTCGTGCTTTATTCTTATTCGAATTTGAACATTGCTTGCCTCACTGAACTGATCGTCTATATCTTTCAAGGCTCTAATTAGCTGATGTAATCTGGATAAATCGTGTAGGCTTGAATTTGTATCGAATGAAATGGAAACACGGGAAAGTTTAAAAATAAAATTATTAATTAAACAGTTGCTTTTGTATGAATGAACCTAATAAGAGTGCAGATTCGGTATTACCGAAAGCAGCAAAAGCTAAAAT